GGGGCACAGTCTGACAGGTATGTCTCTGCCGTGGTATCTGGGGGAGGAAAGAGAATTATCTGCTTGGAAATTGCCTGAATCGCTTTTTCCCCTTCCAGAGAGCAAAATATTCATATTACGTTCATATAGGATAATATTAGATTAATATGTAGTCCTATTATTTTCATAACATAGTGTTATAGAGTGGAATTATAGAGTTATAGAGTGAAATTTAGTGGTATATAGTGAAATTATAGAGTTATATAGTGAAATATAGTGTTATATAGTGAAATTTAGTGTTATACAGTGAAATTTAGTGTTATAAAGTGAAATTTAGTGTTATATAGTGAAATGATTATTGTGAAATTATTATAGTGAAATTATTATAGTGAGATTATTATAGTGTTGGGTGATGATTAGACTGGATGACCTTAGAGGTCTTTTCCAACCTTAATGAGTCTATATATGCAATATTCCTATTTTCCTTTAATCCAGTGAACATCTTCAAGTCACACAAGGGCCTTTTTCTTCCTGAATCACTTTCTTAATTCCTATAAACACACATTCAACGGGGTAAAATAACACAGGGCAGGGTGATTTGCAGTGCTGGTGGAGGTCTGCCTAAAAACTCTAAGTGCATTGATGCTCTTGAGGGTTTTATTGCAGAATTCTTGTTATTAGGCACTTCTTTGAAACACCCTCTCTGCTGTGCCTAGGGGAAAATCCTGATCCCCAAAGGAAACAAATTTTTATCCCCAAGCTACAGAGGAGAATTCAGCAATTGCTGCAGCATAAAGCAGACTGCAGCTAGAAAACCTGGAAAAGAAACTCCTCCCTTTTCTTTTTCACGACTTTGAGGCACTGCCAAAACATTTTGGGGCAGCTTTTTAAACCTTCAGGCTTGGTTTTACCTCTATAGCTGCAGACCTGGCCTGGGATCACAGCCCCAGGCAGCATCTCAGTGTTTGCCTCCAACCCATGTCCCGTGGCACCAGAAAGGTGCTGAGCTCCCTGGGAAGTGTCACCTCTCACTGTTCAACCTTCTCAAGTCCCTTTATTTATGCAGCTCTTTCCTTTTTCTGTATTACCCAGCTTGAGATGGAAACAGGCCAATTTTTTTTCCCCTTTAGTAATTCCTTAGTATATTTTCTTAAGATGTGAACGTAATGCTGAAGAGAGAAACAAGAGGCTTAATTCCCAGCTCGTGTAAACCACGCTCATCCCACAGGAATCCCTGGAGCTGTGCTGACTTACACGAGCTGCTTTCGGGGAGATTTGATGCAGCTTTTCATCATTTTCACCATCATCCCCCCGGTGGCTGTTCCTGAACTGACTTTTACAGAGAAGCTTTTAATAGAATCGAAACGTAAAGCCAAAATTCCCCTGGCAAGGGCTCTCTGAGCGAGCTGCAGGGTTCAAAATTGCTTTTTTGGCTGTTGCAGCTCGTGGCAGGACTGTTGGGGTCGAGTCCCCTCTGCAGCCCCAGTTGTGCTGCAACGAGAGAGGCACCAGGCAAAAAAAAACTGCTTCTGAGCTGGGATTTTTTCAGCATCTTGCTTCTGCAGCACAACGCTGGTGCCCACGGTGGATTTAGGGATCCCAGCCTAGGGAGGGGTGCTGTGGTGAGAGGGGCAGGGGTGTTTATTAATAAAGCACAGATATAAAATAAATAAAGCACAAAAAACCCCCATAAATGGGGGCTGAGCCCTTCCTTGGAAACACCCCCAGCCCAGAGGCACCGAGGAGCTCGGCGGTGGCATCGTGGGGAGGTGATGGGCTGGCAGCCTGCACCCCAAAGTGCCTTCCCTGGGGGACTTCTGCTTCCCAAAGGAACTTTATTTCCTAGGGTATTGCAGAAATCCATCGATTGGGTGGTTGTTTTTTTTTTAATAGGGCGTTTGGGGCAGATTCAGGCGTTTGGGTTATTTGAGGCGCTCGGCGAAAGATTTATCCAGGGTTGCTATTTCTCCTGCTTTCCCTCTGCTAGAGCACAGCCTCTCCCTGGTATTTAAACAGAATATTTGGCTCCGGGGTGCCCGAGGCAGCCGGGTCTGGATCCTGCCCCTCGCTTGATCCAACCTCAGCCAATTCTGACCCATCCCTCAGCCAGGAGCTTCCACCCCTTACCTGCATCCACCTTG